ATAAATTTATTTATTATAATATTTTAAATAATTATTTAATATATGATATTTGTTCAATTTTCTCTACCGAAAAGCTAAAGAATGGTTCCTTGATTCGATAAGAATTAATTTAAGTTCAGAAATCGTCGAACGAAAATTAAAACACTGCCATGCACTAGTAAGCGATAAAGGGTATTTTCGGAAACCGGTGATTTGACCGTTTTTATTTTTAAGGAAAACCACTGTGTCACAGTGAGTGAGTGAGGAAGTTTAGATTTCAGATTTTCAAATTATTGATTTCGCACAATGAACTAATTTTTAACCGCAAATTTATTAAGTAAAGTGTTTAACGAAGCCAGTATATAGAAATAGAACTCAGAAAACACTTTCCAATTACCCACCCCTCCCCTGCCCTCCCTTTAACCAGCCCAGTCAGCCGAGCAGCCCTCGGTTCCAATAGTTTGTTCCCCAACATGACAAGAAGCTGAAGAGCAACAACTAGTGAAATTCTCTTCAAAATGACCAGCCAAAAAGGGTTAGTTTGTCAACATTGCTTACAAGTAGATAGTCGTATACCAGGGCAGTCTATTTTGATTTCATATTTTATCTATTTTGTCCAGTTCAAAGCTGCACTCGATCATCGAGAAGCTGTCAGAACAGTGTGTTCGCGTCAACCCTACAGAGGTGAGTAGCCCCGAAAAACCCTCAATCTTCCTTCGGATTTGTATTTCATTATCCAGAATCGCAGCTAGAAAAAGAAGTGCGCTGTCCATATAGACAACGAAAACAAGGTTTTATATTCTGAGTAAGTCATAGTTCTGTATCAAAACACTGCAGTGTGAGCCCCGGAGTACGTTCATCGTGTTGTTTTTAAGGTAGCAGTAAACACCTAAAATGGCCGATTGATATCGACTCTCGACACGTTTGATTTGTCGTGGATACCCTTTTGTTTCCCAATAGCTGCTCAATATAGTTCCATTGTAAGGTATTATGATGGTTAAAAGGAATTTATCATAACCTTATTTTTTAAGGTAGCAGTAAACAGCACAAAATACTTGGCATTGTATATTCTTGCTGCTCTTGATTGATATATACATTTGGTTTGTAATAGAGATTTTATTATTGTTCCTCAGGAAAGGTTCATTCAATATGGAAAGGTGTGTGTGGGTGGCAGGGGGGTGGGGGGGGGGCATGAAGTATTAATAGGGGCCCCTAAATTTTCTGAAATATATAAAGGGGGCTTTTTATTTTTTTAATTTTTGGAATGGTAAGTAAAGGTAAGTAAAGCTATTAGAAGATAATAATTTATGTTGTTGGTAATTATTTAATTTTCAGGACTCGATTGATGAAGAAGATCAACAAATTGTTACAGTAACTATGCAGCCACCTCAACAAAGGTATGGAGCGTAATACAAGTTATGTTTGTATTAAGTTGAAGATTTGATAATCAGGCATAATAATATACATAACAAAAAGTGGGTTGTCTCTAATTACAGTGTATTTAATTTTATTTCATGAAGGTCACAGTATCCCGAGAGAGAGAGACCTACCCTTTTCCTTTATATATGTTTGTATTTTTTCTTAATGATTCTCAAACTTATACATTTATATAGAGATTAAAATATTAATATTATTTTTGTTTATGAGTTTTTAYGTCATTCATAATGAATTCTGAATGAGCAAGTACAGTAAATAAATTATGTAAATGAGATGTGGAAAATTTAAAACAAAAATAAGTTGCTATAGACCTCTCGTATTTATTTCCTAGAGGAATTGTTCTAGGGGACAAAACAATAGGCGATCTTTTCTTATGCAAAAAAAAATCCCTTGTTTTGTCCCCCAGAACAATTCCTCTAGGGACTCGGTGCAAGGGGTCTATTCACCAATGAAAGTATGGTACTTGGTACAGCTCATGCAACTGGGTTTACAGTGTGACTACTCCAACCAAAGCCACCTCGACAAATTTTCCACAAATTATCCAATAGTGCTTGAGTATTTAGACAATAGATTAGCGGCAAATTTTGAATTTGAATATTCTTCCATTGTTCCGGTTGGTAAAACTAAATGATGAAGAAGAGCTTGTAATATATTTTCTTCGCAAATTAGCGATTTGTGTCACAAAAGATATAGAAAAAAAGTAATGTACAACTTCAAATACGACAGGAAAGCAAATTAGAGACCGTATAAAACACAGTCTTTATGATTACAGTTTGTTTCTTCCAGACAAAGATATTATCAGGCTGAYACTGTTAGATCTTATCACTATGATGCTATGCGACAGCACGTTTATATTCGACAACAAAGGCGCTGGCAGTCTTCTAAGCCGTGTAAACCCATGGATATTTGTCCAATTTGTAGCAATTCTATCAGATTCCTACTTTTGATTGGCTAATTTGTTGAAAATTTGTCAAGGTGGATTTGGTAGGAGTAGTCGCACTGTAACAGAAATGTACTTCCCCTGTCAAAATGTTGATACAGATTAAGTTTCAGATTCATTTCATCACATTCTTATTTCTTTTACAGTTACTTTTTCTGAATAAGAAAATAATTGACTGTAAACCATTGAGAAAGGTCTTTCTTTTATTAAAAAAATACTGCAAATAGACACACTGAGCTGGACAACCATCTTCTGAAATCCTGTCATCAATTAAAAATTCTAGTTATTCCTGACAACTGGAATGCAGCTAATTAGAGACCCTGGAATATTGGAAATAAAAGATTCTAAATCTAATTTGCATTTCTATTTTTAGGAAAACTTCAAGAAATGAAAAAGCAAGAAGGCAAAAACGGCGTTCAAAAGCAAAGAAGCCAAAAACAGCATTCAAAAGAATATCTGTTAATAATGAGAAAAATTTGAGTGGGAAACATGATGAAACAAGGCAGAATTACCAACCAGTAGATGATGATCTTTGCATTGACGTCAATGCATTAATGAGCATTGTCCCTCAAATGCAAGACATTGATACGGCAAACATACATTTAGTGTACAATAGTTGGCCATTGAAAAAGGGAACTTGCAGTGTATGTTTTCAACAATTGAATAGCAAAGAAGAGTTGTTGGATCACATAAAAGAATTCCATCCAGGTACTGTGGTTGCATTATCGTCTTACCTTYGTAAAGGAGATCCAAGAAAGTACTGTACTGTATTTTTTTATCCAATTATTTTTTCAACCTATTGTTGAAGTTTTTATTATTAAATTATGTCAACAGAATAATTGATGAGGAAAAACATTGATAGAAATTTATCACTAATCAGTCACCCAAGAGAAGATTGTAAATCCGATCTTTAATATTTCATTTTCTCAGTCAAGCCCACTTCCATCCCAAAATTTCTAATAGAACATGAAATTATAGTCCTAGACATTTGTTAAGTAATATTTACAGAACAGGGGTTTCATTATTGTAAGTTTTGAAATGATAGAAGGTTTTTGAATTACTAAGCTATTGATATATGGTATTATAGTTTAAGCTGGAGAATTTCGCTCATTTCCTGGAGTTTCTCTTATCCCCAATCCATAATGAAACCCCTTCAGAATATTCATTTCCTTTCTGTATGGCCCACCACTAACATCATCCTCATTGATTTACTGTGGAGATACAGTTATTTGTTTTCTTATGATAAATGCAAGTCTTTATTTACTCTAGCCAGAAAAATAGCAGTTATTATGGATGCATGCCAATGAGTTGACAAGCATTGTATCAACCCCTTAGCCTCACTTGTATGATTCTTAAAGTAAAAGAAATTCTCATTGCAAATCAACACTGTAATAACAGCTATTGTTTTCACCATTGGGCAAGGCATTGGTATTGGTTTAGAGACCAGTGTACTACAACTGCACCCCACTTTATCTCCCTTGTTTTTACCTCTTTTTTTCAAATTCAGATGGCAATAAAAAGTTACCAGTGAATGTTGATAATGGTCATGATGATAATACAATTGAAACAGCTGAAGAAAATGAAAAACAAAGACAAGACGAAGAAGAAGAAGAATTAGAAGAAGAAAGTGATGAAGACAGTCATTCTGACACCGATCCAGACTTTGATGTTGATGTTGGTATTGTCAGCGATGTTAGTGATGCTAGCGATGTTAGCTCTGATGACATGACAGTGCCGACACTGAATCAAAAGAGACAAAGTGCAAGACTCAAAGCATTGAAGGGCTCAGAGAAGACCAATTCCAATGAGGTTGGTGTGTTCTACATGTACCACTTTCCATCAACATTTTTTTCCATATAACAAACCTTTCCTGAATTTTCTTGAGTCACCAGGAAACAATGACACCAAGTCAAAGTTGGACTTTATAAAATATATGTACATTTATGGTGATCACTCAAGGGAATTCAGCAAAAATATATCATAAAATGTCAGAAGGGGAACAGATTTTAAGTATACAGCAAGCATGACATACAGCTGTAGCTGTGAGAGCACTTGCCTCTCACCACTGCGACCTGGGTTTGATTAGCATACTCGACCATGTTGACCATACATGTATATAAGATGGCCCTGTGATTGATGAGAAGAGATAACTATAGCTACAAACTAGTGTGAGCTGCGTTGGTGTTTCTAATGAAACAGTAATGATAAAAAGGTGAATTATACACTGTGAAAAGATGAAAAAACTGACGTTTCGGATGCTAGTCCTGTTATTGATGCTTCCTTTTGCTTCGAGGGTTCTTCTATGGTTTTCCTTCCTTCACAAAAGTCAACATTTCTAAATTCCAATTCAATCTTTGGAGATATTAATAATAATAATAACTTTATTTA